ATACTCACTGGTCTCCTTTGGAGGTTTCTAGGAAACCAAATTATTATTTGAAAATATTTCAAGGAAAAGAATCAAGCATTTATCCTGCTTCCTTGTATTGACTATATTTCAGAGCAACTGAATAGCTGATGAGGGAAAGTTCTTGATAAAATAATCCCAGATAATAAATGCAGGAGCAATGATAAATTAGAAAGTCATCACTTTGCATCTCCTAATGAAGTAATGGATCTAGACAACAAAACAGCTGCCAAAACCTCTAGAAGAAAAGTTGTAACAGAGTGCAGCCAGGTCACCCACAATGAGGGGATCTGAAATAGGGTCCAGAACTCGGGGTGTCCAGGAAATATAGAAATAGAGGATGTCCTCACCCCCACAAGTCTGGACTGAGGGATGGTACAGACAGAGTAGGGCCATGAGTTATTTTACATTATCAATAACAGCCCTATAGCTTCATTCCTAATATGCAGAAAGTTATTTTGCATATCAACAAGTCTAGCTAGGGAAATGGGTGTGATTCCCGGACTAAGTTCAGCAGTCAGAGTGCTGGCAGGTGTAGCCAACTGTAGGAGGAGTCAGAAGTGGGTTGCAGAGGAGGATTCGTGCCAGGATTTAGCCATGCTGGTTTTTTTAATCTTGTGCTTTTGGTACTGGAGAGGGGGCTCCCTTGACCACCTGGCTTAAGAATTGGGAAAGCAAGATGCAGCAGTTTCAAAGGATGCAGAGGATTCCCCAGCTAGCCATGAGGACATGGTATTGCATTAAGAACCGGAGGTGGACGGCAACACAGCTGATGGTGCTGGGGACTGTGGGAAAACTGCCCAGCTGAGCACAGATTCCTGGGAGAAACTGGGAGTCTAGCCGAGCCACAGACTTGTATTTCTTTTTCCTGAGATACAGTACCCTTGGCTGGCCTGGTTGGGCAAAGGAGAGGAAGGAAGGAAGGAATATGTGTGTTTGTGGGTGTTCCAAGGGAGTTTGGGATTTTAACGGTGACATTCTACCATTACTCTAAACCTGTATAACTTTTTAATAAATAGTTCCTTTCCTTTTAACCAAACTCTGGCGCTGAGAACCACAATTCCTAAGGGCAGCGGGCAAAAGAACCACAGTACAGAAGGACCCTGGAGGACAGGGCTTGCTTTGGTAACAGTATCTTGGCACACACAACGGGTTCTTTCTGTAACATGGTCAGTGAGGAACTTTTGAATGGCTGGACCAGGCTGATACCGCCCAACCTCACTGATTAATCTCCAGATGTGGGGCAATCAGACACTATATGCCTCCCAATGTAATGCAATAGGAAATATAAACCACTCTCTATGAAACAGTGTTAATTAAAAAAAGAGAACTAAATCTATACAGGCCCCTAGAGCTAACTTCTAGTTAACAGACTGGACAGCAGAGTGCAACAAGTTAAACAACATTGCAAGGATTTGACCAGATCCAGAAAGTGGGAAGTGGGAGCACAAAAATTATTGTTATTTAACAAATAAAATGATACAAACAAGGGAGGGAGAACTGTTACAGATTAAAGGGAAACATAAGATCAAAGCATGTGTACTAACTCAGACAAACCAATTCTAAAAATACATTTGAAACAACTGGGAAAACTGAACAGAACCTAGGTATTGGGAGATAAAGGAATAATAGCTAGTTTTGTGGGTGCTATAGTACTCTTGTGGGTCTGTTGAAAAATATTATTTTTAGATGTGCACACATAGGTAAAATAATATGTAGAATTTACTTTAAAATACTTAAAGCAAATAATATGTGGAGAAGGGAAAAAGAGGAAATGTGTGGGGTGCTGAAGGTGAGGTGAGAATAAGAGTGCTGAAGCTGGGCGATGATGGGGAGAGGGGGGATCACTTTTGTGCATTAGTAATCTCCCTGATAAAACAGTAAGAAGGAATAGCCTCTAGGACACCTTCAAGCACACCAACACTTCCATCATGGGGGGGTGCCAAAAGGAGGAGAGCGAGCAAAAAACTGAAAGCCTATGTAAAAAATAATGATGAAAAATTTCTCCAACCTGGTGAAGGAAATGGACGTACAAGTCCAGGAAGCTTCAAAGGTCCCAAACCAGATGAACCCAAAGAGGCCCATACCAAGACACATCATAATTAATATGCCAAAGGTTAAAGACAAAGACAACATCTTAAAAGCAGCAAGAGAAATGCAGTTAGTTACCTATGAGGGAGCTCCCAGAACACTGTCAGCTGATTTCTCAGTGGAAATGCTGCAGCCCAGAAGGAATAGGCAAGAAATATCCAAAGTGATGTAAAGCAAGGACCTACAACAGAGATTATTCTACCCAGCAAAGCTATCATTTAGGATCAAAGGATATATAAAAAGCTTCCCACATCCTGGCTGGTGTGACTCAGTGGATTGAGCACGGACCTGCCAACCTAAAGATCACCAGTTTGATTCCCGTCAGGGCACATGCCTAAATTGCGGGCCAGGTGCCCATTTGGGGGTGCGCAAGAGGCAACCAATTGATGTTTCTCTTGCACATCAATGTTTCTCTCCCTCTCTTTCTCCCTTCCTTCCCCTCTCTCTGAAAATTAAAAAAAAAAAAGAAAAAAAAAAAAGCATCCCAGACAAGAAAAAGCTAAAAGAGTTCGTCACCAAACCTGTATTACGTGAAAAGTCGTTTAAAAGAAGAAAAAAAGATAAAGATATGAGTAATAAAATGGCAATAAATATCTAGCAAGAACTGAATCTAAAAAACAAAATATATATCCTTGGCTGGTTTGGCTCAGTGGTCGAGCGCCAGCCTGAAAATCAAAGGGCTGCCAGTTTGATTCCCAGTCAGGTAGGGCACATGCCTGGGTTGTGGGCCAGGTCCCCAGTAGGGGGCGCGTGAGAGGAAACCACACACTGATGTTTCTCTCCCTCTTTTTCTCCCTCCCTTCCCCTCTTTAAAAAATAAGTAAATAGCCCTGCCTGGCATAGCTCAGTGGATTAAGCGCGGGCTGCGAACCAAAGTGTCGCAGGTTCGATTCCCAGTCAGGGTACATGCCTGGGTTGCAGGCCATGACCCCCAGCAACCCCACATTGATGTCTCTCTCTCTCTCTCTCTCTTTCTCCCTCCCTTCCCTCTCTAAAATATGAAATGAAATAAAATCTTAAAAGTATTTAAAAAATAAGTAAAGTCTTTAAAAAAATAAAAATAAAAAACAAAGTAAGTGAACAAGCGGAACAGAAACGCATAGATACAGAGAACATTTCGATGGCTGCCAGACAGGAGGTGGGTTGGGGGACAGGTGAAAAAGGTGAAGGATTAAGAAATACGAATAGGTAGTTAAAGAACAGTCATGGGGATGTGAAGTACAACACAGAGTATTCTGTCAATAATATTCTAATAAGTATGTATGGTGTCAGATGGGTGTGAGATTTATCAGGGTGATCACTTAGGAAGTTATACAATATCTAATTACTAGGTTGTATGCCTGAAACTAATATAATATTGTATATCAACCGTAATTGAAAAATATTTAAAGTAAAATAAGTAAATAAAAAGGAATGAATTAAACTATAATACTTGGCCCAAATTAAAAAAATTGTATATATACTTGACCTAGGTGCAGGAAAAAAAGGTAATTTCAAAGGAAGTAAACAGAATTATTTTTCTGAAGAAAAATTTAGCAATATGTATTAAGCATCTTTTAAAATTTTACATTCAGGCCAGAAAATTCACTTTTAACAATGAATTCTCAGGAAATTTTCATAGATGTGCACAAAGATACATCTAAAATGATCTTCCAGCAAAAAAAAAGTAACAAATTCAAAGTTATAGCATATTCACATGTAAAAATTTCTGTACCCATTAACCATGAAATTATAAAAGAATACTAAATGATATGGGAAAATGGTCAAGATAAACTGTTATGTATAAAATGCAGGCAATAAAATAGTATATACATTTTGACCCAATTTAGTCTTAAAATCACACATCTGGAAAAAGCCAGAAAGAGTAATTCTCCATAATGTTAATAACTGTTATTTCTAGTTGATGGGGTTAAGGTACTTTCCTGAGATTGGCTAACAGTGGAATCAGTGGGTGTAGCAGTGACCTTTGAACTAAACAACAGAAGGGTGCTCGGACAGGGCAGAGCGGACACATTACTAATTAATATTTTAAAGGACAGGTATTTAGCACACTCTACTGTGAGAAAGATGATGTTTTAAATTTAAAACCAGAAGATGTCAAGGTGAAAGTCAGAAGAGGATTAAAGTTTACGTAAGTTAAATGAAGAAGGACAGACAAATTACCCAGGATGACTGAAAAGGTCACTGCAGTAAAAATCCTAATACAATTCTGAAAATAACCAAAATAGCCTGTTACACCATCCTTCTTGAGTGTACCACTCTGATAGGTCACTACACATTGAGGTCTAAAAAGAAATTTTAGAATATTAGTAAAATACAAATGCAATTTTGACTACTGAATTTGGCTTATGTAAGTGGGTTAAATCTGTTAAGAAGTGAATAACTCTGCTATATTAAAACCTAGAAAATCCTAAAAACCACCATGTTTTGCCATGTATAATGTGCACTTTTTTGCTCAAATTTTTGAAGGAATAATAAGGATGCACATTATACATGGGTAGTACTAATTTTGTATCTCTATACATGTTTTTAATTCTTTTATTTATGCTTATTTGTTAATAGTGTAACTCTAGAAAGCAATAACAATATTTGTATGCAAAATAATACCCTGCAATACAAAAATCAGTTTTGTTTCTAAATATAAATAAATAAGTAAATAATTGAATTTAAAAATTAAAACGACAGATTTTTTTCCCTGAATGTTTGGGCCAAAAACATGGGTGTGCATTATACATGGGAGCACATTATACAAGACAAAATACGGTACATTCTATACATTGTATATCGTTAATGATCAGAAAAGCCAGACTTCTGCAGCTTTTTCACGACCTTTAAAATTTCAGTTGTCTCCTTTCTAAATCAGGCAAAAGCGAAGAAAATGTCCACACTACCTGGTTTCCGTACTTTCATTGGTTCTTCATAATCCTTGTTTTCTGGACTTGAAGACTCTAGAAAGCTGATTTCTTCCGCGACACTTTCCCCTTCTTGGCTCCGGAGGCTGTCTTCCTCCTCCTGAATGGGGGATTCCAATTCTGATTCTTCTGAATCAAGAAATATCTGACCAGCTACCACTCTGCCTCCTGTGCTGTGGTCCTTTACCGACTCCTCTGACGGCAAAGTCTGAGAATAGAAAGTATTCTTAGTGGTCAATGGTACCACAACTTGTTTCAATCTAATTTGACCATTACTTTGGTAATCCAGTTGTATCTCCTTCGGCTCCCTGAATGCGTCATGCTTACTCATCTCTATGGGCTTTCCTGTGTGTTTGCCACATCATTCTCATCACCTGCCTAACACCGACTCTTTCTTCCAATTTCAACTTAGATTACTTCCCCCAGGAATCCCTTCTTAATTCCTGGAACCTGGGTTAGGGTCTTCCCCTACGTGCTCCCAACATATCTTATACTTCCCCTTAGGACAGCCCTGTGTTCTAACTTCCTGTTTCTTATCTACAGTATGTTCCCTCTAATCTAGAGATCCGGGGATCATAACTGAATGGCCTCCTTGAATACATAATAATCAGCCTTATCCATTCAATCAACCAATTTAAGTACATAATTCAACAGATTAAAAAAATTGATATAAGCAAAAATAAACGGCAGAGGTTCAGTCTTCGAAATTAAAAACCCAAAAACTAAAAGAAAAAGGAATAAATCAGTCTCTCATTAGGCAGTAAGAGCCTGTAAACTTTTACACATACATGGAACATTCAAGTTGAAATGAAACCTAATAACCAAAGCTCTTAATGGAAATATTTATTTTCTCTCTAGTAGGTCAGTGATGTTTTTCCTTATCTTTTTCTTTTTAAAAATCAAATTCTGTTGGTCAAAAGATGCAGATTTCACATCCTTTGTTTTCAATCGGGCATCAAATATGAGTCAGTGAAAATTTTAGTACACACCTTGGAATCTAAGGATTCATCCTGGCTGCCTTCTTCATCTGCAAAGAAAGTTTAAGACAACTGAGTCATCTCTCTTTTTGGGAAATCACAGGTATTATTAAAAGAAAGCATTTAATAAGTACAACAAATAATAATCAGACACTGAATAAATACATCTAGAATTATCTAAAACTGGTTGTACTCAGCAACTATTCAGAAAAGATTGAGTGAGAAGATAAAAATGGGTTGGGGTGGTAATTTCTCCTGTTTCCAGGAAAGACATTAGCTTTACCTGTTACACAAGCAGGGAGACCAACAACCCCTACACCAAAACCAGATACTTCAGATACCATCCAATTCCTCAGCATATATTTAGTCTACTACCGAGAATGAGTTACTAAATTTATAAAAATAAATCTGATTTTGTGGTTCAGAATTCTACCTATTCTGCTCAGAGTCTGTTAGTGCTGACTAGCACTTTATTGTTCACTAAGACTACTTAAGACAGACACTAAAATTATTATTATTATTTGACAGCAGAGTTGCTGGACTGAGATATTTAAGGTGTGCTATTTACTGAAGAGCCAACCAGATACAGGTAAAAAGTAGCATCATACCACCATGCATTCATTCACAAAAGATCTATCTATTTAGCTTACATTGAACAATGAATCCAGACACTAATTATACCTTTCTTCCAAATGCATATCTGCTCTCTTGGTTTTGTCTGATTAATTTTCCTTCTATTATTCTTTCTGTATTTTCCTGCTATTACTTCTGTTCTGCTCCCTTGTTATTTTTTTTTCCTGTTCTTATATAAACACACTCAACAACCCAATGTCCACATGCAAATGTTTGCTTTTTGTGTTCCTGGCCAATTAGAAACAAACAGTCAGATGATCTCTAAGTTTCTTTACTTTTAAAATGACCAAATTTTAGATAGGAGTGAGCTTCTGTTTTGTCTGTTCCATAAGTTACATGAGAAGTTAACCAGTAGGCAAATGTTACTAAGACCATGTGATTTTTACTAGAAAATTTGGTGTTTACGATCAACATCATTTATCTTTATTTCATATGGTCACACCCTGAATATTGTTTGTAACTCTCTAAAGTATAACATGTTTTGGAGTTTGTATTATCACAATACTGAGCTAACTTTAAGAGTATAACCAACTCAAAATTATGTGCAAAACACACAGCTCTATTTCACAGCATGTTTCTTTTGAATATTTGAGAAAACGTCTACTACTGAGGTTTTGTCATATATAAAAGCACTGTCAATCGAAAGAAACTTAAATTGTCACTACTTTCACATTCATTATTTTTAGATTACCTTCCAAATATGTTTTATTTCTGGTGGAAGGGGAAGAGGAGGGTATAGCATGCATGCATCCATAGTGCCCATCCATTTAGGTAGTGATGTCAATTACTTAATAATCATCCTTCAAGCTAACTCCTTCACAAGTATCACCCACAGCCCAAGTTCTAACATACGGTTCAAATTTCATTCTCAAAAAATCTTTGGATAAAGAGGAAAATATTCATCTCTATTACATATTGAAGTTATATGTATGGAAGTATTTAATTAGTCACAAACATTAACTAGTTAATTCACCAAGAACAGCCATTAAATATGCAAATGTATATGGTATATTGGTATATCCCAATACCGAAACTTTAGATTATTTGCAACTCTTAGGTCACTAAATCATTAAATTTAGTACCTTGTCACAACAGGTCACATACATAGCTAATCAGTAAATAATATAGATGTCTATAAATACATCTTAAGACATGTCCATTTGAGACACTACAAGCTCTTAGACATTAGTGTGTTTTTGAACTCAGAGACATGGGAACTTCTGACATCAAGCTTATTTCATGTGAATTGCATCATGCTTCTCTCTCTCCTCTCTTCACAAACTAGGAATACATACTAAGGTTACTGGTAGATAAGAGAATTCTTTCTCGTTTACTAAAGCAGGAGAAGCTACTCCAGATGGTAGTCTTAAAGCATAAGCTATTTTCTCTTTCAAACTGATATACCCATTCACATAACACATTTAAAGAAGTTGATTGTAACCTAGAAACTTCTGCTCTATAGAAGCTAGTAAGGATTAAAGACATTGAAATTATACATAAATAAGAAGAAAACAGTAATGCTTTCATCAGCACACAGACATCAAGCAACAAGAAAAATGCAAAAGGATTCAATGAGGAGTTATGGGATTTCTCACTCCACATCATTATATCCAAAATATAATGGTTTGCATTACTTTAGTAATTGTATACCTTCCTTTGAAAAATATCAGTTTTCACTTTAATTTTATCAGATAACAAAACTGCAAATCACCAGGGACATTCTCTCAGGAAAAAGTAATTATTACAAATTCATTTTCCAACTCGTCATGTAAATTACACTGACACACTTTCAAACACAGAAAGTCTTGAGTTTGCTGCAAAGAGACATCCTGTCTTCTGCTTTGACACTGCATCTGTGCAGATGCTACGATACTCCTGATTCTTAATTACTTCAAATCTGAGGTCTGAAGAGCTGGGTTCAAAACCTGGCTTCACTGTGTATTAATTTTATACATGTGGTTCAACATCACAAACTTGCTCAGCCTCCTTTTCCTCAATGGGTCAAAAGGAACAATACCATCTACCCTGTTGACTCACAATGTTTTGGGCAACAAAAGAACAATGAAATTAAACATCCTCTGCAACCTGAAATCTACTCTTTGAATGTATGCTATTAACACAATTATTACTTGAAATACCTAGCAGTGGACCTAACTTAAAAGAGAGAAAAGTAAACCATGTGCCTGTTCCTGCCAAAAATAAGAGAATATGTATTTCTAAGTGAGAAATGTTACAGTATTTCTCACTTTTATCTTGAGAACATGAAGGAGAAATATCTTTTTAAAAATCCCCTTCTTTAAATTTATTTATTCACAGAGAAAGCATTTCAATAAAAGTATCATTTTTTACATGCCTCTAAATCAAGATATTAGATAACAGCTACAAATAGTGATAGGATCAAAATTCTCTTCGTTGGCTGACCATCATATTCTACCTGCTAATGAATGTAACTTGCTCTGGGTAACCATTAACATTCAAACTTGAAGTCAACACCAAAGTATGATCCACCCAGATTTTTCAATAGCAGCAAATCTTTAAATCTAAACTAAAAACGAGGCTGACATCCCATATAAATAAGCACCTTAATGAATAAAAAAGTCAACTGAAAATCCACACACTCAGTTTACAAAACTTTATCTCATGTGTTTTATAATGTTTGCACTTCATGTGAGCACAGTACTGCCTTTACTACCTGTCAGTCTACACAATGTATTATTATTGAGCTCTGGCCAAGTAAGGTTTTTGCCTCTACCAGAGAAATGTTTTGGTACAATTTAACTGTGATGGAAATCACAGCAGACACTTCGTGAACCTAGTCCTCTGCTTACATCAGCACAACTCAAAGATTTCACACTTCAGTATTAATAGTCTTCCATCATGACATCCAAGAATCCAAACGGTTGATTAAATGACTTCAAGTATCATCTCCATGGACCTGAAGCTCTCAGTATATAAAATCTAGTCAAAGGAAGATGCAGAAAAATGTTTGTATGCTTTAACGTTCTTTATATTCTGCAAACTGAATTCAAAGTGCTATATATCATATTCTTTAACTAGCAGTTCTCATAGTTTAGTGTAAAGATTCACTTGGGAAGCTTGTTAAACAACCCTAACCTGTTCCAAACACAAAAATGCACTTTTAACAGGTCTTTAAGAGCAAGTCTGATGCAGGTGGTCCATGGTCCATACAGTACCTTACCTTCTACACTCAACAGTTTCTTTTCATACTTTCCCTGATCACATAACTGCTAGCAGTGCATCAAGAGTTATGTCAAGTTTTAAAGATTTGGTCAGGCACGCAAACTATCACTGAAAGGGGAGGTGGGGGAGTCTGACCTCAGACCACGATGCTGGCTGTAAAGTAACTAGCAAGTGCTTGTTGCTTTTGAAATGGTATCTCAAACCACATTATGGATAGAATTTTAGGGTTAGGACTCTTATTTTAGAAGCAGAATGACGTTATGGCATTGACTTACAACTAGGACAGATAATTTGGGGATTCAAATAGCCATCTGGGAAATTTTCTGTTTAAAAAAGTTGACATTTATATCATGCCTTATTCTAAAAAAAATTTAAAGACACAGAACAGCTGTCTTGTTAACAAAAAGTGATTAAAATGCAAAAGCTTTGCTGTACCAATTGTTTTTTTACCAACACTTAGAAAAAACACTAAGTGCTTCTTTTACAAACAGTCTCAAAATAGAAATTTTCAGATGTCGGCAGGTTCCAGTACTCAGAAGAAATTATTTTTAGAGCCAGAGTATAAATCAGCTAGTTAAACAATCAATTCAAAAGCACATGAATTTCTACATCTACAAAAAGGTTAAAACTAGTAGCTATCCTTTTAAAATTTACAGGGTCCATGATTTTCTCACAAATCATAAAAATTACTGCCAACGCACATGTTACTACCGTGACAGGGGGAAAAAACACTTTCTTAAGAAGCCTTCTTCAAAAGGGGGAGGGAGTAGACACAATCATATCAAAGGTTTTCATTATTAATTTGACAAAGAGATGGAGAAACCACTCAGGTGCTAAGCAAACCACTGTCAACATCCTGGTTTTCATGGACCTGACTCTGCCTAGTTAGTGACAGTCCCAGAAGTGTCAGTCACCTAATTTTACAATCCCCAATCCAGAGTTTCAGACCCAACGTAGCACAAAAACTACATGAGAGCCAAGGAAGCTCCAGCAGGGTATCTGTGCCGCCGTGCATCTGAGCCAGCTCTGGAATTCACTCCTGAAGACTCAATTCCTCATTCGTGAGGAGTCGTGCAAAGTTTGTTAAGTGAGAAGAGGTGTGGGCACGGTGACCGCCCCTTCTTTTCCTCCCCTCTCTAGTTCCCTAAACACCCCCTCCAGCTCAGGCCAACCGAAGCCCAAGGAATGACAGCGAGTGAAGGTTGGTGCTAGCTGTGACCAGACAAGAGTGGAGTCCCCAGCTCGAGCCCCCAAGGCCCTACCCTGGGTGGAGGCCGGAGGGGGCGGTGGCTCCCGACCTCCAGTACGAGGGGGCGGATACTGACCCGAGTTCGCCAAGGCCGTGCCCAGCAGCACCGCACAGAGCAGCAGCGTCAGCCCGCCCTGGACCCGCATCCTGCTCTCGGGGCCGCTGCCACCGCCTGGAGCTGTCGCTTTCGCCTCTGCCACCACCGACTCAGCCACCGCCGCCTAACCGCTGCTCTTCCTGCTCTAGTCTCCTTCCTCCGCCCCTTCCCAGGCCTCTTTGCCCTAGAGCGTAGCCTATCGTCGTCTGCCGCTATGGGCTCCTCGCCCAATCGCCGCGGTACTCCCGCCCACCTTAGTGCCCCGCCCCCGAAATCACGCATTGGCCAATCGTTATGCGAGGCTTCCACACCGGCTTTTCCGGTTGGACCACGGCGTCACCGACATGGCCCCAGTTAATTGGTAGCTTCTGAGTTCAACCATCCTGGAATCAGAGCGTGAATCCAGGACTGGGAAGTCACCTAAGACTACAAGTCCCACAATGCACTCCACTGACTCCTCTCGTTGTGTGCTCTTGGGAAGTGTAGTCCATGGTGGGGTATGCTTTCAAAGTGCAGGTGGCTGTTTAAGAGAACTTCGGTAACAGCTGGGCTGAAGGCTAAACTGAGAGCCTTGAACTTTCGGGCGTTTTTTTTTTTTTTTTTTGAGCGTGGGGGGTCAAAATTAATATCAAGAAACAAACATTGTAAGGTTAACAGTTTGTAATATGTTAAGCTCTTCCTCTTTGTTTTATTTAGAAAATTTGAATTGGAATAATGATATCAGCGAGTAATAAGCACAGCTGGTAGACCGAATTCGAAATATATATATATTTTTAACTTGGGTGAAAAAGTACCGTATATTTGGAAATCGAGATGGAACTCACTGCTGGTCCTCCTTTCCCTTACAAAACAAAAGGAAATAAACCCTACCCATTGCAGATAATTTCATTGTTAGTTTTCATTTTTATGCGGGCCATCAGATAATAATCATCTAGAAAAACGTGCCAACAGCCTTTGCAAAGCCTTTCAAACACTTGTCCTCATCTGTCTCCTTTTTTAAGTTACATTGTTCTCTTCTTTATTGACTAGGCTCAGGAGTTGAGGTTGATGTTTTTGGAAAAAAGGTGACAGTGAGTGCACTGAAGAAACAGAAACAGTCTTGTGTATTAAGTACCAAATCCAGGCATGCTTCCACTGGGTAGCAAGGCAGCAGCTTGGTGTTGCTGCCCCTTCATCAGATTGTGTCGTTCTGCTTTTCCTAGGATCCATCCACAGCTCTTAGGCCTGGAACCTAGACAGCCTGGGTTCAGGGTTTCGGAAAAGTCACACTCACCACATATCTTGATACCTCTGGGCATTTATCTTCCCTTTTCTTTGATAGAGAGTCCTCTGTTCCATATTCACATCCAAGGGAATGAGGAAAAGTATTGTCCCGTGAAAAAGAGTTCTCTTTCCTACTACTTCCTCCTTTGCACTCATCTCTATTTCTGTGTTTTTAAAATTAGGTTTTATTTACAGAAAGTCATCATTCCTTCCAGTTTGTCTAGTAGGTTACATAATCTAGGGGTTTAAAAATTGTTAACCAAGAAATCTTACTTTCATCTGCAAAAGTTACACTATGCTGTTAAGTACAGCCAAGGCTATAATAATACAGATATCACTAAGTCTACTGGATCTTGAGAATTATTCACAAGCACTCACAAGAAAAGGATAAAAATTTGTCCTCCCGAAAAACCGTATCTCTTTTTAGGAAACTGGTAGAGCTTCTGCACACCTCAACATTTGTGATTATGCTCTTACAAATGTATTTTTACACAGTCTGTTCCAGGTCAGCTAGGAGTCAACAGGCTTGATATTGGCAGGTAAACACACATCCCTGCAGACCCGTTGCTGTTCATGATGACATTGGGAGGTACCATACTGCAACCCCAAAGGCTCTTCCCATTGCATTCCTACCTAATACATACACCTATGAAGAGTATTACCACCAGTAATATTTAAAACAAGGTCACTTAATACTGCAACTCACATGTAGCATAGAATGCTCAAATATGTTCAGTTTTGAACTGTATGACAAAGCCAAATATCCCACCATTCCAATAAAAAAGTGGGGAATAGTTTTAAAACATCATTAATTTATGTGGTTACGTTTTTGAGTAAGAAAGAATAGGCCATACAAAATTTGGGAACAGAAGAAAACTCGGATTTCAGCCACCAGTACTTTTTTCAAGACAAACCTAGTATTTCTATGCCCTGCCATCTGGAAAGTATAATTCTTGCTTTGCCTGACAACTTCTAGTTGAGAATATGGCAGTCATTCTAATCGCTGTGCATTAAGAATCTTGTTGCCCCTGACTGACAGCTCACATCTGGAGCATTTATCATGCCTACGTGGCAATACAGGGGCCAAGAAGGCAGAGGAGGATATGGAAGCATTCCCTGTGAGTGATTACTGAAAAAAAAAAGTCCCAATCCCCCCAAAAGTATTGATCATACTACCTAACTGCATCCAAGGAGAAGAGAAGAAATAGCTGAGGATTGCTGAGACTCTAGTCAAGCTGTCACTGCAAAGGGCAGAGGAAGAAGCATGTAACATAGCTCACATCACATGTGCTTCACTCTTGAATCTCTTCTCTCCAATGTGCCTTTCATGCAAGCAGGACTGGTCTTCAAAGTTTCTGAGTTTCTTTCTTATCCAAGTGGCTCAAAATAGTTTAAGTCTTTCCCAATGGGAACCAGTTGGAAAATATAAAGCTTTTGGAATGTGGCAGCAAAGGAAATAAGCAAAGGAATACACGGAAAGAGGGAGGTTAGGAGAAGTCCTCCTGGTACTTCGTACTGGTTTAGAGAAAAAAGTTTCCAGGCTGCTGCCTGCCACAGGGTCACGAGCAGAACTGTTTGCCCTGATACACTAGTCCCATTATTTTTGTTACACAGGTCCTTCTGGCAGCCGTTGGACAGTAGCTCCTTCTTCACCAAGGCTTTGAAATGTGGTGAAATTGCAGTGATTAAACCTCCAACACTGGTGATATGTTTGTGTCTTAGCTTCGACAGAGAGACATGCATCAGAATGATGAGAACAATTGGACGTGGCATTGCAGCTTCCACCAGGGTTAAGACAGGTCTAGCACTTCAGGCAGAGGACAAGCAGGATGAGCACGAGCCCAAGCAGGATGAGCCCTCCTTTGCTTCCCTTTGTGACCACAGCATCTGACCTCGCCCAGGGTCTCATTTCCAGTGCCACCCCCATCTGTATTTCTGTCACTAGCAATGTTTCCCCAGAGTTCCTCCGATTTTAATTTTTGAAAGATATTTTATTTATTTACTTTTAGATAGAGGGGAAGGGAAGGAGTAAGAGAAGGAGAGAAACATTGATGTGTGAGAGAAACATCAACCAGTTGCTCCTTGCATGTCCCCAACTGGGTCCCTGGCCCGAAACCTGGCCCACAACCCAGGCAAGTGCCCTGATGGGGAATTGAACCAGCGATCTTTCAGTCTGCAGGCTGGTGCTCAGTCCACAGAGACACACCAGCCAGGGCCCTCTGATTTTAAATCATAGAGGAAACTCTGGTATGTTTTCCGCCCTTTTTCGTCTGATTGATCATTGAGTTGTATCAACTGAACTATACAGGCTTGGGCAAAAGTAGGTTTACAGTTGTGAGTCCATGAAACACAGAGTTCATTCTTCTATTACTATTTATTAATTATTGTACTATTTTCTTTTTTTTTAAGATTTTATTTATTTATTTTTAGAGAGGGAAGGAAGGGAGATAGAGAGAGAGAAACATCAATGTGCGGTTGCTGGAGGTCATGGCCTGCAACCCTGGCATGTACCCTGACTGGGAATTGAACCTGCAACACTTTGGTTTGCAGCCCACCTTCAATCCACTGAGCTACGCCAGCCAGGAATTATTGTACTATTTTCCATACAAACTACTATAAATGTACTTTTGCCCCATCCTGTATAATTACTCTTTTATGTAGCCATTTTTCTTTCTCACTGAAAAACTTTCTTGTTGGCCCTCATTTTCCCTTACCTGCCTGATGTACCTGAGTTCTAGCCACACTCACCAACCTTGTTCTCACTTCACTCTAAACTAAACCACACACTGTGGCCAGATTAATTTTCCTTAAACACTGCTTTCATATCCTTATTCAAAAATCTTTCAATGGCCACCTTTGTCATAAAATAAAAAAAATATTAGAACTTCTACTGACAAAACAGGAATTTATGTTGACAGTTTTCCTTTCTTGGGGAAGTATTAGGGAAGAAACTTCTGCTTTCCCCATGAGAAGCAGTGATTACCTGATTGATAAGACTGGGGGAAGTTCACTGTTTAGTTAAAACCCAACTCCTATCTTCATCCTTTTCTTCACTGAGTGCTTCTTATATTTCAGGCCCCAAGCTAGGTGCTGCATGGACAAATTAACCACTTCTGTCTTACTGTTTTCTAGTGAAAGGGAGGAAACACATTTTTTTTTTACCTCCTAATTTGTTTTGGCTGGTCTAGTAATCTAACATGAAGTAGACAAAGAGGAGAAAATAACTAAATTTATTACATATGTACACATGGGGTACCCTAAGAATGTGGAACCCAGGAAACCTTGGGAAGCTGAGACTTGTATGCTATTCTGGACTACGGAGAGGGAAGCAAGGGTCTGGGATTTCAAAGGCAAAGTATGCAATTCACAGGTAGGTGAGAAAGAGCAAAAATTAGGTAAAGAAATTCTTGCTGGCCTTTCAGAAATGATGGGACACAGAAGGGAGTCTAACAGACAGACTTTGCTTGGTGCCTCCCTGTCTGCCACACTTAGGTTATATAAAGATGCTAGGGTGATCACTCCCTTCTTTTAAGCAGGTTTTTCTGAGTTCCATTAGGCAAGTGAAGGGGGAGGTTCAAAGGTCCTTTCTGAGTCCTTTTGTTTCTTAAAAATGGGATATATCCAAAGGAACCCCAAACACTAATTTGAAAGAACATAAGCACCCTTATTAACATAACACTACAATAACATCATTGTAGTGTTATTTACCATCGCCAAGATATGGAAGCAGCCTAAGTGCCCATCTACTGATGAGTAGATAAAATAGCTATGAAACATTTACACAATGGAGTACACTCAGCTCTAAGAAAGAAAAAAAAATTATCCTTTATGACAGTATGGATGGACCTGGAGAACATTATACCGAGTGAAATATGCCAGTCAGAGAAAGACAAATACCCTATGATTT